AAAATAACAAAGATAATTATGAGTATTATGTAGAAGAAAGAAATAACAAAGATAATTATCTAGAGTGAAAGAAAAGGTGAAAGGTTGCCTCTATATAGTCCGAAAAAGAAAGGGCCAAAGGTTGGAAAAAAGGAACATCGTTGGATCTCCTTATCAACCTAGAGAGAGCCACACACCATTTTCATATGGAAATAAAGATAACTAACCGCATTTTTTATATGCTCTAGAGAGAAAGAAAGGCCTATCTATCAAGGGAGCAGTTTTAGAGTCACACAGGTTTGACGTGAGTTTTCCTTTGATAAACAAGTAAAACTAATTTTCGTGGTCAAATAAAGATATTTGTGAAAACTCTCTTATAATGTTTCGAGTTAAAATAAAAATTTATAGCAAACTCTAAATCCTTAAACTCTATTCCAATTTTCTAATTGAAGTATACTCTATTTCAATTTTCTAATTGAAGTATACTAACCATTAGTTTCTTCCGATGTTTCAATTTAAAGTTAAAATTAATTGCAAGCTATGAATCCTTTTACTCTCTTAATTAATTGTAAGCTTTGAATCTTTTTACTCTCTTCCAATTTTCTATTTGACAGGGAAAATATTATAATTAACTCCCATCCAAGCTCAAATAGATCTTGAACTCCACATTTTTTTTTATTTTGAGAGTAATATTTGATTCTAAAGTTTCCAAATTGAAGTTGAAATTATATTTGGAATAAAGCATTTAAACGGGGCATCTAAGAATACATATTCACATTCAAAGCATGGGCCTAATAACACATAAATAAAATATGTAATAAAAAAGGCATCTTCTACCAAATAAAATGCCATGTTATTTTTTAATATTTATTTCAAATATACAATTTTATAATTAAACTTTTAAAAACTCAAATCCTTTAAAACTATAGGTGATATTAAATGTACTTAAATATTAAAATTAAAAATTAAAAATAAAAATTAATTAGTCAAACAATTTAACTTGAGGATGTTTTTAGTTGCTATAACATAAAACTAATAAAATAATAACAAAGTACTTATGATTTTTTTAAGAATATCACAATGATATATTTCCAATTATAAATATTCCAATATTTATTTATTTTTGTTATAATTTTATTAATATTAATATAGTAATTCATGTATTTCATTTTCAGACGTGGATTTTCATAAAAACTAATTTTCAAGTGGTGAAGTAAAGATATTTGTCACGCCGAAAGGAGATGAAAGATGAAAATATTTACCGTGAAAAAAAATAGAGATCGATTTAACATATATAGGAAAGAATACTTACTATTAGTCTCCTCCAATGTTCCAAGTTCAAGTTAAAATTAATAGTAAGCTTTGAAACTTTTAACTCTTCTAATTTTCTAATTTGAAATGAAAAATATTATGATTAATTCTCATATAAGTTCAAATGGATCTTGAACTCTATAGATTTTTTTTTATGATGTTAAACTTTAAAGTTTGAAAATTGAAGTTAAAATCACATTTGGAATAAAGCATTCACTCGGGGCACTTATGAAGGAGTATTCACATTCAAAGCATGGGCATAATCATACATACGTAAAGTATGCAATAGAAAGGACATCTTTTACAAAATAAAATACCAAAAACTCAAATTCTTAAAGACTACAGGTGATATTAAATATAATAATCTAATAAAATTTACAATTAAAAATTAATAAACTAAATTAACTTGAGGATGTCTTTAGTAGCTATAACATATTACTAATAAAGTAATAACAAAGTAAATATGATTTTCTTCATGAATATCATAGGAGTAATGATCCTATGAGACCCTCACACACTCAGGTGTGTAGGACCCCAAAGGATCACCATTAAATTTGGCACAGATCTCTAAAAAAGTTATCATATAGGTATGAGATTTGACTTTTCTAAAAATTTATGCCAAATTTAATGATGATTCTTTGGGGTCCTACACACATGGGTGCGTGAAGGTCTCATAAATTTTTATTTTCTTTGAGGCAAGAGTTCATTGTAGTAAGACTTGTAAGTGATCGTTGCCAAAAGAAAAGAAAAAGAAAAAAATGGGTGAAAAAGAAAAAAAACAAACAAATATATCCTTCGACAAGATCACATAAGTTTTTCTTTCAATTACCACATTGTTAAGTGGAGACGACGCAAGCTTGAGTGGATCTCCAAATTTGAAAAATAAGAAAAATAAAATCCACTTCAGAAAGAACCTTTTCTCTAGTGACTTAGTCTGTATGCTCCTACGAGAGCATGCGATTTTCTTTATTGTTTGATTAACATGGGCACGTCCTTTTCTTTTGGTAGATAAGAGGTGAAATAAATAAGGAAAATGAAACCCACGAGAATATCTCCTCAACCATATATGGAACTATATTTTTTGTTGATCTAAGGTATTTGTCCTTAACTATAAATATGACCATCTTGCATCAAAAGTAAATAGTCTCATCGCATACAATCCCTTTTAATATTTGGAGGGACATATAAGCTTATCATATTTCTATTTCAAGGAGTAAATTAACATTGGAAGTGTGAGCCATGTCCCCCTAAGTATAGCTTCAAAATTTTGGAGAGAGCTCTATTAGTATAGAAACTTTCAGGGGTATTTATGTCTTTTTATTTTTTCTATATGCTATTTTGACCTCAAATTTTGGGTGTCCAATCCTCTATTAAAGTAGAATTTGTAAAAAATATAAAAACAATATTCTTAATAAAAACAAAAAACAAAAATACCTCTAAAAGCTTCAAGGGATATTTTGGTAATTATATTTTATTGAAAAATTATTTTTAATATTTTGTTGTGGTACACCCCAATAATAAAAAAATTATTTTTAATATTTTTTTGTGGTACACCCCAATGAGTAGATGGCACGTACCAAATTTCATATTCATACAATTTATATAAAATAAATTAAAAATAAAATACTCTGAGACGTCGAATTGAATAGGGTGGCCACTTTATCAAAATTGGACGGTTGAATGGTAAGAGAAGCATAGATCGTCTATACAGTAGGGGAAATATACAAACCTTTCCCTAATTAAAAACCAAGCTACCTGTATTCAACACATATCCTACTGCAAGTAGGCTTACACATGTTCGACAAACACCTCTTCATTGTCTACTACCATGACCGAATCTTCATCACTTCTAACACAAATAAGAGGAACAACAACCTGAAAAAAGATGATTTCCATCTCTACTTCCTGAACCACTTAAAGGCAATGACTATACAAAACAATCAACAAGCAGATACAAGTCTGCAAATTCCAAAGCAGCTAGAAATGGAGCCCAAAAGAATTCGACACTGGCATTGTACTCCTGCAAAGTCAAACACAGTTTTATTGATATTCTTTTATAAGATTTATGCAATGAAATCTAAGCACCATGAAAATCATATAACCCTAGGTTGAATTTGTAATATCCATCATTTTTTTACATCCTATAAAATTATGCGAAAGTACATTGAAAATTTGTTTAAGAAAAAATAGATTATAGAGAGGACATAATGTTTTGGCATATTCAAAGGTCTATATTCAAATAAGCAAAATTTGTAAGTTATATTAACAATGTGCTTTGTGCATCAAGGGGCACACTTGCACATAAGCGTGTTTCGCCGCTGATATATCCATCTTAAAGTGGATGTGGAAAACTGGTGGTCCCACGACAACTTAAAATATATGGTGTTAAAAATACATAAAAATAACGTTGTTTTTGTCTTAAAACTAATTTATTTCTATATTCATGTTCACCAGGGTGGAGATTCTCAATCTCTAATTTTTTGAATCCGAAATCCATTTCTAATATGGATTTTGGACAGAGAACTTATATAAATAAATCAGTAGGTAGACTCATCAAAACCTTATCCTATTAGCAATTATTTACTATTTATGTATTGTGTAAAACAGTAAAGCATGAATTTGTGAATTATTTAAATATTCAATATAACAAAGCTAGAAATTGCTCAAAAAGCATTTTTAATAGAAAAGTCGAATGGTATAGCAACACTAATTATTTATACAACTTTTTAGATTTCTTAAAAATAAAGAAATTATTAATAAATGTGATTGAAATTAAGGGTTCAAAATCTAATACAACCAAAGATTTAAAACCTCTGATTCCCTTTAGGGAAAAGTTTATATAGAGCCGAGGCTCTAAACAATTGAGCCTACCTCAAAGATTCAACTAGAAGAAGTTGTTTTGATGCTCAAATATCCTCAAATTGATCATCTCGACATCAAGATACATGGACATGAGAAAAAAATAGATTTCAAGTTTTGAAAATAGTGTATTTTGTGACGCATTTTTGGACAATCAATTTTCAAGATTTCAAGATTTCAAGATTTCATAGATATGTTGATTGATGTTTTTTTTTTAACCTTCAAATGTTATAAATAAAGATAAAAATATATTTTAAGGCTATCACAAAGATTTCTGATTTTGAAACTACATTTTTCGATACTATTTGAAGGTAGGCTCTAATTTGATTGTTTAGAGCCTAGGTTCTATGAAAACGATACCCTTCTTTTTATATTACCCAAAAACTTTCCTATGCCGGTAGGAGTATTCTATCCATTTACTCCCTTGGGTACTTTAGGAATAACTTTTAGATCTCGAATTTTGGGGATGAAATCTTTCAACGCATAAACAAACCTCAATAAAAAAATTTCTGAACGAAATTCTCTATATACTAGAAAAAATAATGAAAATCATAGACATAATGGAACCTTCTCGTCATTTCAGACAATTTAATCTCAATCTGTTCTAACCAACTTGGTTACTAAAAGAGCATGACTTCCATTTTGACGACCTCTTGAGTTTGGTCATGTTACTTTGAGTTTGACAAAAATTCAGCTTACATTTTTGAAGGAAATCCTGAAAGTTAAAATGTTCTGATCACAAACGTAGGCACCATGTGCATGCAGATCCAAAAATGCTCTAAAACTAATAATGCATTATTCAACTCAATCAAATAAAATTTTACTCCTTGAACACAGTAAGAGCTCCGATTCCTTCCAATTCATGTCTGACATAATTAAGCAGTAGAAATAAAATACGTAAAACGGAGCCAGTTTAACCAACCTCCCCGAATTCTGTCGCTCTATCCATGTTCCTGCATAATGGCACATAAAACTTGAGTATAGAAAGTTCCCTACTCTTCCAAACAGCATATATTTCATTCATTGCTTCTTGAGTTACACCTGCCTTCTTCATTTTAACCCATTTTGCCAATGTCCGAGCTTGATCTCTCAACCTTGTAGAAGAGGCTCTGGTAAGCTCAATTCTGCTTTAGTTGGAGTCTTTTCCTCCTTCACTCTTCGAGAAACAATCTTTTCAGCCAATGTCCATGGCAATATGGTTTTCATACCTTGGTCTTCACTAACAGATACTTCCTTCAATGGTAAATTAAACTTGCCACTATTGAATTTGTGGCCCCCTCACTAAAACTAGATTTAATTTTGCTTGGAATGGCTACTTCATCTGATAAAACAATGTGGTTTTCTTTCTTTTGCTCATTTTCTTCATGAATCTCCTTCAGTTTTGTGATGTTTTCCATAATTAAATGTATTGCATGCTTGCTCCTTCCTCCCCGATCTCCTCCAGTAAGAGCTTTATCATCTGAATTCTTTTCATTACTTTATTTTTTCTACTTTTGGATAAATCCAACACATCGTCAGCAGGCAATAGAAGTGGACCTCTCAGCCATGGAGCAGTATCTTTCTTAGGAAGGAAAGTGTAGGTAACACTTGTTGCCACTTCTTATTTTCGGGGTTTCCTAAGCCCTTTGATGGGCCCTTTGATAGTGGTGAATTTGCCATTGGGTCGGATAAGTTATGCGGTTTTTGCCATGGGAGCTCTGAAATAGTGTCATTTTCATTAAATGGAAGGTTCATTTCAAACTGGTTTTTAGGTATTGGTTTGAGGGAAAGTAGCATATTAACGGTAGAAGTTGGTGTGGCACCATTGAAATAAGAGTCTTTGCAAGGTGGGCCGTGCAAATAGTTCCGCTCACGCCATGGAAACAGTGAACCAGAGCTACTTTCCTTAAATGGAAGTTTCTTCCACCAGATTATTGGGTACTTCATCGAGGGGAAGCTGCACATTACCATTTGAACAAGATACTGTACCATTTTTAGTATCAATTTCACCTAAAATAGACCTAGCAACTGAACTTAAACGTTTGGGGTTTCTGAAACTGTTTTGGGATGGTAAATTTGCAGAAATGGAAATGTTCATGAGAATACCTGGAGCGAGTCCATGCTTTGAAGGAAAGGCTTAATTGGTATCTAGAGAAACCAGTGAAGAATTCAGGGCCTGAAGAAAAATTGAAGCCATTAAAGAAAGATTCAAGGAATTCACAAAGCTCTTACCGGATATCCAAGGAAAGAAGGGCATGCAAAGCTATATCATCATTTTTCTAGGGGAAATTCTATCAAAAGGGTGTCTCAGAAACCACTCCCGTAAGCCGGGGCGTATACTAATATCCCGTGAGAGCAGATTGTATAGTGCTCCCTCGGGCACAGGACTAACTAAGAAGATTTTTTTGTATGAAATTTTGGGAATGACATCATATAAATGGGCAAATTAGATAACAATCCGTGTATCAATAGAAGTCTACCTCCCAAAATAAGTGCTTCGTCATCCATAAGTCCAGTTTGAATTGTGCACTCTGAATAACTAGGCTCCAGATTGGTTTCAGTAGTTTAGAATCTGAAATCTGAATCCCTAAGTACTTAATAGGAAAGGTTTCCACTTTACAATCCATAATAATAGCCCCCTTTTTCATTATTTCTGGTGAACAGCCGATCCCTACTATGGAGGTCTTCCCAAACTTTACTTTTATACCCAACACCATTTCACAACACCGAAGCATTCATTTCATATGGTCCACTTCTTGCACCTCTGCTCCACAAAACAACAATGTATCATCCGCATACTGTAAATGTGAAATGATCAAATCATCCTTATCAACAATTCTGATGCCATTAAAGTGATTACTTGATACAATATTAGAGATAATGAGACTGAAAGCTTATGCAACTATGGTAAAAAGAAAAGGGGAAAGTGGATCACCCTCTTGCAATCCCCTTGTAGCTGCAAAGAAACCTTTAGGACTTCCATTAACTAAAACTGAGAATAAAGCACTAGAAATATATCCCTTGATCCAGGATCTCTACTTTTCCCCAAATCTCATACACCTCATAATCTTCATCAGTACTGCCCATTCTACCTTATCATACACTTTCTCCATATCTAATTTTAGCACAATTTTTAGCCTTCTACTTGTCTTCCTCGAATGAACGCATTTTTGAGTTATTAGAATACCATCCCTAATCACTCGATCCTTAATAAAAGCAGTTTGTGGCCCTGAAATAACATATTTTAACACCGTCTTTAGCCTTTCGGCCAAGATCTTAGATATGATCTTATATAAGCTAGTTAGAAGACTAATTGGCCTAACATCCGAGATTCCAAAATGAAAGATATAACAGCCCTTGTCGGTAGGGTTGTTACTTGTGGGGCAGCAAGGGCTTGTCGTCTTTGCATATGTTGCTTCTCTTATACCAGCCTCTGTTTGATCAGATGCTTAAGAATATGAAAGGTGCTTCTTGCTTGGAGGACGCCTTTTTACCTACAACGCTTTCATCACTGCTGCTAAATCGTTTCTGGCCTTTGAAACTACTGGCGATACTACCACTCAAAGGAGAGAGATCGTTGCTTTTCTTGCTCAGACCTCAAAGGAGAATATCGGTATGCAAATCTCTCCTACCTCTCTATCTCTTGAGGTGCTTTGTTGTTGCATTTCCTTCTTTGTCTGTCTTTTTTGTTCTTCAGTTTTGGCGAATATAAAAGCAATTTGGAATGTCTAGGTGGATGGGCAAGTGCACCTGATGGGCCTTACGCTTGGGGCTACTACTTTGGGAATGAGAAAGGAGGAGGTGATTACTGTATGGTTAGCATTCAGTGGCCTTGTGCTGCAGGGAAAAAATATTTCGACCGAGGACCCATTCAAATCGCACAGTAATCCTCTCTCTTTCTCTCTCTTCAGCATGTATTTTCTAATCAAAATTCGGATGAAATTCCTAAAGAAGAATGTCTCACATGGGTTGGGGCCTTAGTGGTAGCATCACCGAGCCCCATGACTGAGGTCTCAAACTCCATTCTCACCAAAAGGTTGGGGCTTTAGCAATAGTTTAGCGACTGTTAGAATTTGTGGGAGTATAGAATGGAGAGAGAACACAATATTTATGTGGTTCAGGCGGTTCTTGCCGAAGCCTTACGTCCACGGATCTAAAGCCCCAACTGACTACATCTTCATTATATTGGATGAATCTTTCCATCAAAGAGTACTACCTCTATATATCGAAGATAATTATACAACTAGAAGAGATAATTATGATATGATAACTATCTTCAAGATTCCTAACATTATCAAGAGATATATACATATATATCCATAATGATGCATATCAATATGAACCAGAGTACTACCTCTATATATAGAGGACAATTACACAACTAGAAGAGATAAATATGATATGATAACTATCTTCAAGATACCTAACCTTATCAAGAGATATATACATATACATCCATAATAATGTATATCAATATGAACCCGAGATATCCATAATGATGTATATCAAAAAAACAACCTTTCTTGGGCTCTTTACTTTCTTCTTTGAAGATCTCCTCTCTTCAGAGGCTTCTTTGAAGATCTCCTCTCTTCATAGGCTTCTTCGAAGATCTCTCTCTTCAGAGAACCCGAGATATCCATAATGATGTATATAAAAAAACAACCTTTCTTGGGCTCTTTACTTTCTTCTTTGAAGATCTCCTCTCTTCAGAGGCTTCTTTGAAGATCTCCTCTCTTCAGAGGCTTCTTTGAAGATCTCTCTCTTCAGAGATTTCGCTGAAGATCTCTCTCTTCAGAGGCTTCTCTGAAGATCTCTTTTTTTAGAGGCTTTTTTTCTTTCTAGAGGCTTTCTCTCTCTAAAAGAAAAGGAATTTTATTTCTCTCTCTTTGGAACATCCGAGATCGAGTGATCATCACACAGGATGGAGCAACGGAAAACTCCATCATCAAACAAGATCAAGGAACGAAAAACTTGATCATCAACTAGGATCGAGAAATTTGATCATCTTCATCGCCTCATCTGGAGACGGAACTCTTGATCAACAACCAAAACTGTGAAATTCGATCATCTTCATCTCCTCATCTAGAGACAGAACTCTTGATCATCAACCATAACTTCTCTTTGCATAATAATTGGACTGATCCAGAATCTGGATTTTCGATCATCTTCATCTCCTCATCTCATATTCTCCATATCTTCTATACTCTCCCCCTCAAGTTGGGTGTGGATGCGAAGAAACACCCAATTTGCAAAATACAATATATTTTTTTGTTCTTTTGAGTACAATCATATAAAAAAAAAATGCCAATGAAATTGGGCTTCTCGACAATAGCCCACATCTTAAGAAAATACCACCCATTTTTTTTTTTCTTCTCTACTGCTTCAATTTTTTTGGTAAATCTCCACGAGCTTCAAGCTGCTTCCGATCAAAGACCTTCCCTTCCAAGATATTTCGAGAACGTCTGGAATTGGTGGGTAAGAGAGAGAATTCAAGGGGGGAAGATTGCCCCTTCATGAGTGATCAAAACCCGGAAACCTTATTGGGTTTTTCCAACTAAATGGAAAGATCAAGACCCATTACAGTTTCAATGATTTAGAGAGAGAAAATAAAACCGATGATATGAAAGGGTGAGTCCTCTCAAAAGGAATAACAGAAGAAAGGCTGACTAGTTTCCTCAATGGCCAAAGGAAAGGGTAGGAACAAACTCCCTCAATTCCTCGAAAAATCTTCAGAGAAAAATGCCTCTTTTCGAGCAAGTTTTGAAAAAATGTAGGGCATGTGCACCCTATCAAATAAGAAAATACCAGCAAGGTCTTTAACCAGAGTCTGGACAACCAAAGATAGAAACAACAGTCGAGTTAGAGGAAAATCCTGTGCAATCTGAGGGCAAAAATCTTCCTGTAGGGAATGACCTTTTCATGTGCTGAATTGATGAATTAAAGGAGCTGGATGAGTTGGATCCAGAAGATCCAACAGATGGCAACAATTTGGACTTTCCATGTGCTAAGGACACCCTGTGAGCCACTTCCCGAGTCAACATTGGAGGTGCAAGATGAGTGGGTCGAGGTTTCCTAATGGCTAGTTTCTTGAGAACTTAGACCCAAGATTCAAAAACTTCTTAATGAGTCTCTATCACAGGATCTTCAGGCAAAGAAGCTTGTCGAAAAGGAAAACTAGTTCTTGGTGGGCAACCAGTGCTCTCGCGATAGGCACATATGAACTAACTCACAGGCACATGAGCAGAAGAAGAAGGTACGAGGTCAACAAGAAGAATGCTCTGATACCATGTTAGAATTTGTGGGAGCATAGAATGGAGAGAGAACACAACATTTACGTGGTTCAAACGGTTTAGGCCGAAGTTTTACTTCTACAAATCCAAAGCCCCAACCAGCTACATCTTCATTATATTGGATGAATCTTTACATCAAAGAGTACTACCTCTATATATAGAGGACAATTACAAAACTAGAGGAGATAAATATGGTATGATAACTATCTTCAAGATATTTAACCTTATTAAGAGATATATACATATACATCCATAATGATGTATATCAATGTAAACCCGAGATATCCATATCCTAATAGCGACAAAGCCCCCAGTTAAAGGTCTTGACTTCTATCCTCATTAATGGATTAAAAAATAGACACTTCAAAAATTGGTAGCGGCTCGTCATCTCCACTGAATTACATAAAAAAGAAAGTTGCCATGACCTTTGAAACTAAATCAATCTAATTTCAATAATATATTAGTGTAAGACTCCCAAACAATCTTTCGCCCTCCTTAATTACTTTTATCCAATGGTTTAAAAAATGGATCGGTGACCCGGATCGGGCTTCTAAAAAATCGATCCGGATCGGAGAATCGATGATCCGGATTCGGAATCGGGTGAATCGGTCAGAATAAAGCTTAAAAAAAATCTGAAAAAATTATTAAACTTCATTATAAATATTGTTTTTTAGGAATTCAATAAGAAATGAGGGTACTCCATTAAGAATTTTCATGTTTTTGAATGAATATGCGAATATTGATATGTTCTGTCCCTGCATGAACCGCCATTCAGCATTTAATTTACATCACACAAAAGGATAAATATAGAATTATCATGGAATAAGTATATCAACATACATGGACTACAATAAAGCATAAAATTAGTAACATATGATCTAAAAATAAAATGATAGACGACGTTATTGTTCTTCTTGGTCACGTTGGTGCCATTGATTGAATTTGTTTAACAATTCATTGAATCGATCTAAAAACGAATCATCGATATTAGCAGGCGTCTGACTATTCCCAAATCCCTGAGTGTTAGTGTTTTGTTGTGTTCCCAATCTAAAATCCCCGAAGATTGTTCATCCTTCATGCTCACCTGC